TTTTCAAACTTTTGCTATATATATATATATATATATATATATATATATATATATATATATATATATATATATATATATACATATATATATGTATATACATATATACACACACACACACACACACACACTGTATATATGTATATATACTGTATATATATACTGTGTGTTTGTATATATATATATATACTAAATAAAATAAATTGGCCGTATTGTATGTGTGTGAATGTGAGAGTGTATAAGTACTGGGTTTCCCAGTACTGGGTTGCAGCTGGAAGGGCATCTGCTGCGTAAAACCTATGCTGGATAAGTTGGCAGTTTATTCCACCGTGTCGACTCATGATAAATAATCAAAGGTGATATTCATGCGCATTTTCTCCAGCATGTGCATTCAGATTGAGCAGGGTTTGGTACAAGGAACTGTTGTTTACTGATTCAAATCTAAACTAGAAATAATCATTCAATAATAACTTAGAGATTATCATTCTGTGATGACAGAAATTTGTGTAGCTTCTCAGTGAACTACAGTTCAGTGTAATAAATTTTACTCAAAACTCACTTCATACAGATCACACTGTGCTTCGCTGATGTGCACAACAATCTCAGATTTGCTCAATCATGTTTATGAATTTGAATATTTACCCAGCCCTAGATGTAATGCATTGCCAGACCATTATTATAAAAAACACAGTTACTGTATAAAATATAGGGCTCTATTTTGACAATTGATGCACAAAGTGCAAAGCGCAGGGCGCAAACGCATTAAGAATCCACCTTTGCTAATATAAGGATGGAAAAATCCGCTTTGCACCATGGCGCATAGTCTAAAAGGGTTGAGCTTATATTGTTATTGAGTTATTGAGTTATAGGTGTGTTTTGAGAATAAACCAATCAGAGTCTCATCTCCCATTCTCTTTAAGAGTCAGTTGCGTCATACCATAGCGCATTTGCTATTTACATGATGGACTTTGTAAGTAGAAAAACTGAGCATTTGACTAGCAAGAAAACAGTTAAAGAGAGCATCTACAACGCGAGAATGAGAGATAAGCCTCTTCATTATCTACTTTCACTTTCGCTCTTGTGGATAGGGAAACCTTGTATGCACAGACATCAGTTTGCCTATAAATAATTAATTTAGCTTGTTAAGCGCAAAGATTTGTTTCAAAACTATTCCTAAATTCTGTTCTAATTTTCAGCAAACAAATAAATGAACAGTGGGCAAATCTAAGCTTGTTATTTATAAAACAAATATAAATATGGATATAATAAATAATACAGCTGATAATAATAACATTATACAGAAGCAAATTGTCATGAATAAACTGAAAAAGCCCCCGAGATGAAGAAGGCATGAATGTATGGTTTTTATATTTATGTCGGCTAGAAAATATTGTTTTGTAATATTTTAATCCTTTATATTTATATCCTATATATATCCTTATTATATCCTATATACATCATTAATATTTGAATTCTTTTTCATATGTAAAAATATTTGCGTATTGCTCCACATCTTGTGTGTATGTGTAAGCGAGGCACACAATTAATGCGCTGGACTTTAGACCGGCTTTGTTCTGGTCTATTAAACAGACTATTATAGTTTCTCAAAATAGCAACGTGACAGCAATGCACCTCAACACGCCTCCCTTTTTAGACCAGAACACCTACAATGAAAAAAAATTATTCAAAGATGATTCCTTGGATTTACTCAATTTTTTACTTTAAGTTGTTGCAAACAACTTATTTATTTGCACATATGAGCGCAAATGCATTTGCTATTTAAATAGCATGTCGTAAAACGTCAAAACGACTCTTGCCCCAAGATGAAACTAGCAAACAACAATTGCGGCACATTGTGTTAAAATTATTAAACTACTGTGGTAAATTTATGTTGTGTACTATTGTAATACACTGCCAAAACAGGCTAAGATTAAATAATCAATTGAAGAATTAAAGCTCACCATAAAAAGTTTAGTTATAAGGTGAGGAATTAAATACTAATGTGTGGAAAGTGCACATTGTCAATCAAACAAATGAAAACACCAGCATTGTAACAAGCATGTCACTTAAGTAATGCAGTAAACATCAATTATATAGGAAAGACTTCAATATTTTACTCTAAATGGTATGTATTTTAGTTATTAATTGTATATAGTATATATTGCATATAAGACATTTTTATTAATCTGTCACTATATTTATTAATATATACATGTACAATTGATGCTTGTAAATTCAAACAACTAATCAGCCAAAATCTCATAAAAGTAATTCAAGTTAATCTTGTTTAAACCAACACAAGAATGTGAAAGAAATATAATACAAACATACTGAGAATAACTATACTTTTCAGATGGGTTGTGTTGAGTATCTCAGAAACTAATGATCCCCTGGGATTTACACAACACAGTGGTGTGAGAAAAACATCCAGGGAGCTGCAGTTCTTTGGGTGAAAACAGCTTGTTAATGAGAAAGTCAGAGAACAATTTAGTTCAGATAATGACAGTAAAACTTGGTTTTCACCTGATAATAAGATTAATTTCAGGTCATCTGATCCTAAATGACAGGATTAAATACAGGTGTAAACAGGGTCAAATAATGTTATCTGGTTACTCAATCTGCATTTAGGTACATTTGACTGTATTTATTGTATGTGCGCTCTGAAAAACAGTGAAAGACGTCCTACTCAGGTGTCTATCAAACTGCTAAAATAATTATTTAAAAATTCAAACTGTGTATTTACATGTGCCAAAACATGAACTAGTCTGATGAATCTCATTTCTGTAGATTTATACATATGTAGAGGTAAGAAGTTGGTGTAAATAACAAATCCATTGGTCTTCCATTATCAGTTCAGGCTGGTGTATAATAACCATGTGGCGAACCATCACATCCCAAGCTGGATTCAAGAAGATGAAAATGTGTTCAGTGTACTTGAACGGCTTGCAGTCTCCATGTCTCAATCCAATAAGAACATTTTTAGATGTGGTGAAGAGGCTGATTTGTAGCAGTATTGGGTGATGCCATCATGTAAGTATGCATTAGAAGATTCTAAAAAAATCACCTTCCAAATTACAAAATCTATATCATAAACAAAAAGTTAGACTGTATTGTTCCTCATATTTTTGTTTGAATATCAATGTGTTATTCCTATTTTGTTAATACATTAATGGTGCTGAACATGTGCTCTCTTCAAACATTTCATTTCCATTTATTCATTTTCTTGTCGCCTTTATTAATCCGGGGTCGCCACAGCAGAACGAACCGTCAACTTATCTAGCAAGTTTTTACGCAGCGGATGCCATTCCAGCCGCAACCCATCTCTTGAAAACATCCACACACTCATTCATACACACACTCATACACTACACACAATTTAGCCGACCCAATTCACCTGTACCAGATGTCTTTGGACTGTGAGGGGAAACCGGAGCACCCGGAGGAAGCCCAAGCGAACGCAGGGAGAACATGCAAACTCCACACAGAAACACCAACTGAGCCATGCTGTGCCGAGGTTCGAACCAGTGACCCAGTGACCTTCTTGCTGTGAGGCGACAGCACTACTTTCTGTGCCACTGCGTCGCCCCATTTGATGTTATTGTTTTAAAAAAATTTGCAGCCAGCAGGTATACATTTTATAAAATATGGCATTATAGATTAGTAGTTATACTTACATTTGCATTTTAAAATATAAAATAATATTTCATATTTTGTTTTCATCAAGCATTCTTTTCGAAGTTAGCATTTTATTTAGTACTTAAATCTGATCAAAATTAGAGAACAGCATGCTGTTTCCTACATTTGTATTCCACTAATTTACATATTGTGAAATTGTTCTAACAATAGCAGTGAAGCAGTTTTTAATTATATTTCATCTTGCATAGTATTGGGGTGTCGCAGTGGGTAGCACGATTGCCTCACAGCAAGAAGATGGCTGGCTCGAGCCTCTGCTGGGTCAGTTGGCGTTTCTGTGTGGAGTTTGCATGTTCTCCCTCTGTTTGTGTGGGTTTCCTCCGGGTGCTCCATTTTGCTCCACAAGTCCAAAGATGCTATAGGTGAATTAGGTATGCTAAAATTGACCGTAGTGTATGTGAATGAGAATGAGTGTGTATGGATGTTTCCCAGTGATAGGTTGCAGCTGGAAGGGCATCTGCTGTGTAAAACATATGCTCGTTAAGTTGGCGGTTCAATCCGCTGTGGCGACCCCAGATTAATAAAGGGACTAAGCGGAAAAGAAAATGAATGAATCAATTATATAGCATAAGTAACTTAATGGAACATTCAGGTACCTGACAGCAAAGTCACTGATCGTTCACCTGTGGTTTCTAGAATGTTGCGTATTTACATTTATTCGTACAGCAGACACTTTTATCCAAAGTGACTTACAAATGTTACAAATGATGTTCATTCCCTGCATTCATCGCCCAATCAGCCAGCAATTTTTATGCAGTGCAAAAAGCCATGTCACACAGCAAAGTGAGTATCTATAATGTCACAAACTCATTCAAGTTCCCCCAAAAGACTTGTCATCCACATAAGACAAATGTCCTAGAGGACAGGATAATGTGCAGAATATTAATGGGAAATGGGTTCAAAACTGCTGCTGGAATTGATCACCAGTTCAGTTTTGAACAGGGGAAGGATCTGTATATTGACATAATGTCTTAACTTTTAAGATAATTATGGATGAAGGCCTCTGCAGTTACCAAACCTTTATCAGCAGAAAGGATCAAAAAGTAATACTAACCTTTGCTGTGGAGTATGTTGTGTGGACTGAGAACTGGTTAAAATTTCATCACTTTAATGATGGAAAGCAAATTTAACTTATTCAGGTCTGGTGGATACTAATAACTAATGATTAATGATCAAAACAATTATGTTTAGAAATGTGTTGAAAAAAAATCTTCTCTCTGTTTATTAGAAATTGGGGAAAAATAAACAGGGGACTAATAATTCTGGGGGGCTAATAATTCTGACTTCAACTATATATATGTGTGTGTGTGTGTGTGTGTGTGTGTGTGTGTGTGTGTGTGTTGGCATATGTGGTTTATGGAACCAATTTTCAGGTTTACCCACCAGCATTATGAGACCATTTAGTTTATGAGACCATTTTTGGTGGTCTCATAAACTAAAAATTTAAGTTGATATTAAAAATGGTTTAAATTATGATTATTCATTACAATGACCTAAATGATAATTATAAGACTTGTTTCAAAAGTTCACATTGTTATTTGGTTATTATTACACTTGGTGTGCTTTTTATGACCTTTACAAATATGGTCTTGTAAACCATGATGTGTATGTGTGATCTTTGAACAGCGCCTCTGTAGGCGGAACTTGGTACTGCACTTCTATACACACTCGCGCCAAATCTTACACAATTTCGCGCCATACATTCAATCGCGGGAAAACGTCCCTCATGAAGACTGTGGACGTGACAGTCGCGCTTCAAGCAGTGAAACTCACATCAAACAAGTAAGTCATTTGTTTTTAATACTTTGTACATTATTTATTATTATATGTACTATATTATTCCACTTGTTATTCAAAATAGCAAGTTTATTTATATATTTATATGCGGCGCGTACTGTTTTAGACAATAATAATTAGTGACTGGGATCAGAAGATGAGAACAAATAAACGTTAGAAATATGTGTTTGTAATGGCAGTATCAGACGTAAGTTAGTTCTTCAAAATGTGTATTTGCTAATAATAGCACGCGCTCGGCCTGTATCTGGCTCGGAAGCGCCGGTGTCGATTTAACCCAGAACCGAGCAGAGCTCACTCCTCCGCGGTAAACAATTCGCCGTCTGATTCCATGAGATGTAACGTTATAATAGTTGCACTATGTAATTTGTGATTTTTTTTCTACACATACTTTTATGTGAGAAGCCATGACCATTCGAATATGGTATAAATAACATGGTAACAAGGTATATTAAACATAAATATGACGTAGAAACAATTTACTAAACTTGAATTATTAAGCATGATTGAACAAAATGTTTGAATTTAGTAATGTAAATGTGTGGTTTTATTTTTTCTGTTTTTTTGTGATAAACTTGTGTTCAGTTAAACTGTACATTTGAATAAATGAACTTTTATTATGAAAAGAGGTTAACTAACCCTAGTTAAATAACTTTATTTGATCAAATTGTCAAAATAGTGCACTACTAACTTATATTTTGTTAAATGGTTTGAAATGTGATAACTGTATTATGAAATTTGATAACTATATTACTATTTTGTTCTGTTTTGGTCTTTAGAGAATTTTACACTACGTCGCATATATTAATACTGCTTTGCATATGTGGTATTGTATTGATATTATAAACTGTGAAGTTTAACCTTATATAATATTTTAACAGTGAATGAATGGTGGTAAGAGTCAAAGCAGAGGATTAAATCCTTTGAAAGATGCTGCTCATCATGTGAGGTTGGGGAAGGATAAAGACATGCTTACGTGGAGGTACATCAGTGACATCAAAGGTACCAAAGTTTTGTACATGTTTTTTCTTACTGCAGGTAGTCCCCAGTTAATGTTTCATTATACGCATAGTGTATAAAATGTTAAGATGCAAAAAGGAGTTTAATTTAACACAAAAAAAATTAAGTCATGAATGATGATTTGATGACATGACATTATAAATGTCAACAAAAAACATTTAAATAATAATAATAATAAAAAAAGAAATGTCCTAATTGAAAACCACACTTTAAAATGTTAATGTTTAATTTAAGAGTCTAAAAATGCTAATATTAATGATTTCCATATTAGTGAAAAGTTAAAACTATTAAAGATTGTACACTATCCAGGGCCTGATTAACCAATGGTTAATAACACACATTGATGGAATAAGCCATTTACACAAATTTTGTCAGACAAGTGATGTCTGACCGACAGAGACAACATAACTAAATAGCCCCAGTGGTGTAACTTGTAATGCACATAGCAACATGTTTTGACGCGATTGATCATCAACTCGAGTTCTAATATACCGTCTGCTGAACTTATTCTTTTTTTTTTCTCCCCATTGCATATCAGATGGGAAATACATTTATTTTTAATAGGTAGGAAACATTTTTAAAAAAATTAAAATAATGCAAATGTTAAACAAAGTCACAAGTGCCTCGTGTGTTTTGATGATGTTTATCTTATTTCTCTAAATAGTTATTTTAAATATATAATAAAGTTATTTTCAAATGTTAGCAACATCTTAATAGAATTCATTTGTATTTATTTATTTGTGATGTTAGTCACTAAGGGTGTAACGGATCCCTGTTGATCCGTGATCGATACGGATCACAACCCACGGTTCGGAATGCGCGTGACCCGTAGATTAATAACTTTTTTTTAACTTGTAGGTTAATCCAACATTTATAACAATCGCAGAGAGATCGCCTCCCGTGTCATTCAAATTGCATGAATGAAAGCATTTTGGCTTCCCTGTAAAATATAATGATGACGTTGTGGGACCTACCTAAATGCTTTTGGCTATTAAGGTGTTTTTTTGTCACTGTTTGTTTAGCCTGCATTAATGCATTCATTATGGTAAGAATAAAATCACTGTTTAATGAAACAAGATGCTGGTGAAAGCAACTACATTGTGTAACCAACAGATGGCGACAAACAAACATCAAAATTATGTCATTGAATAGGTTTTCAAATATAATACACCTACAGTATAATGAAACATGAAGTTTTATGTGTGAATTGTTGAATCATTAATTGAAGATAAATATATGTTGTACAAGATTTCTATATATTTTGAATTATCAGCAACAGTAGCAAAGATCATATTTCATATTGAATACTATTTTTTTTAGCTGGTTATTTCCTGATTTTTATTTTTTATTAAAATTACAGGTGCTATATTCTGTTTGTTAAAAGCAATGTTTTATGCAGTAACATTTTTGTATAAATGGAAAGCAAATTGTCTCCTCCCTTTTTTGCTGATCCAAAAAATGGTCCGATCCATAACTCAAAAAATGTAGAGTGATCCGAACTGCAGATTTTGGATCCGTTACACCAATATTAGTCGCCCTTTCCCAAACCCTGGTTAGCCTGTCGATTATCATTTGCCACAACTAGCGCTACTTCACCCATATTCTCCTACCTCATGGCTCTGTTGAAGAGCATTTAATAGGTTGCACATGCCTTAATAAAGGTTGCCTCCCTCTCTTTAAAAACATTTTTTTTAGAAACTAGGCATTTCCTCTTAGCAAATAGTCAATATCATATATTATTATTATCATTGTATTTAAATTGTCAGAAAATGTCACCATGTATAAAAAGCATGCAGATTTTTTCCTTTCCTTCTTTACTTTTTTTAACTAAACAGCATGCTCTAATTGGTGAAGTGCATGTAAGTTTTGAAATAACCTGCACTGAATTGAGCGGACTGTAGTGTAGTATTTGCCGTAGATCAAAATGAGTGAACAAGTGGATTTGGCAATCACAAGAGAAAAAGAGGAGAGGGTGCATCTTTATTGAGGCATGTTTCATGTATTCACTCCTTCAAACAGACCCATGATGAGGAGAATGAGGGTATAGAAGACGTTATGGTAATGTTATGTGCAAGCTAGCATTAACCAGGCGGAGGATGCTAATGGCAGTGCAGACTGGATTCATCGTTTGTCTGAGGGCGTACTCGCACTGTACAGTTGCCATGAACAAGGCTGAAGCATGCTTTTCCCCCCTTCCGTCTCCCCCTACGGCCTGCACTCACATTGCATTCGTGCCTGGGCACTCTTATGTCATCGAACATGTGCTGTTCAGTAAGAGCTCTCGCAAAGCACGGTGGAGAATAGTAATAAATACCTTTTAAAATATATATTTTAGTACTGCTTCAGTTAACTTGAACAAGTGTACTTATACTATCAATTTTCACAAATTTTCTTAATAAATTTTAAATGCTTAAAAAATAAGTTAAATCTTTGTAGACTATATATATATATATATATATATATATATATATATATATATGTATATATATGTATATATATGTATATATATATATAATTTATTTAAAAAATGTGGGCAATATATTATAGATTCGTTTTGAAAAAAATGTATTCTATTCTTATTTTTTTTAATACAGACCTCTTGAGTTCTTAATCCGGGCCTGACACTATGAAATAGTAAAGTATTAGATAATTGTTTTGGGCCAGTTTCCTGTACAGTGTACTTTTTGTGCACTATTAAACCAACATAATGAATTTTTTCAATGATTTAGTTTCTTCTGTATCAGTTTTCACTGTTTGTCCTGAAAAGTTTGTGATGCATACTCTGTGGAGTCAGTGTTCATGTGTTGACAGAACTGTTTTTATTTGGCAGAGTTACAATTTTAATCTTGTATAAAAAAAAGTACCTTGTGTTTAATTTTAAAACATTGTTCTGCACGATATCACAACATACAATTGTAATTTTAGAGTGTCATGTGGAGGAGTTGACCTTCTCTCCTGTAACAAACATGAAAAAGCAAAGGTAGGGTATATTGGATTTTATTTTAAAAATTGGCATATTTTGAACTGTATGTAGTATTAAATATAATGTTTAATAATGTCTGTTTAGCACACACTTGAGTTGTTTTAGCTTTATTTTCTGTGTTTTGATTATGTTTTTCAGTCTCTTCATGAGCCATTATCTTTGAATTCTGAACAGAGTGAGCTTCAAAGAGGTTTGTCTATATAATTGTCTTCTAAATGTTGATCTGAAGAGATATTTTCTTATTGTTCCTGTATCTGTGCAGTTATTTTTATATAATAATACATTTAATATGGATGTAGCGATACATTATTATATTGAGAATCACAATATAACAATTTAAAGTTTTTTCTTTAGATTAGCCTCTATTCACACGGTGAGTATTATGCATAAGATTAAACGTTTACACAGTGGCAGTATAAACTACTGTTGTTAAATGATGAAAATAATGCAAGTTGAAATCTGATGATGACAAATGCCTGATTATACCAGTGAAAATGATCTATTTGCATGTGGACCATAAGAGAGTGCAAGCATACATCTAACACTCATCTTCAGAATTTTTAATTTGTATTCTGATGTCATCTCTGTCCTGTGCATTAAAGACCAATTTAAAGTTTAACATGCCAGATCTATGCAAAATTGAGCATTTTAACCATTACTAGGCCTACACATTATAATAATATTGTTTTTTACCACATTTGAGAAATAACAAATATTACTAATATTTAAAGCTTTTTTTAAAGCTTACAATATTGAGATATCAAGAGAAACAATGTCAAGTTTGCTGACCTAGCAATAGGCTATTGTTTTAATATCTGTGTGTTTGCTCATGGTTTATGGGGACCAAGTATGTCTACTGAATGTGACTTAGCAGTAGGCTATTGTTTTGTTAAATCTGTTTATTCATGGTTTATGAGGACATGGTTTGTTATGCAAGACTTAAAGCTTTCAGTAAGTGAATGTCATGTTTTCTTCATCTTTCTTTGCTTCTCTCTTTCAGCGCCTCCATGAGCCTGTGGCTTTAACCAACACAAACAGAGCTGTCTTCTACAGAGGTTTGTTAATTATTTTGTCATGCTAATTTGACACTCCTTAAAGGGATAGTTCATCCAAAAAGTGCAATTGTCTCATTATTTGATCACCCTTTACTTGTCTCAAACCTTTATTGGGATATTTCTTCTGTTAAAGACAAAAGAAGATACTTAGAAAAAATATGGAAACCTGTAACCATAGACTTCCATATTATTTGTGTTTTCTGTTGTGGAAGTCAATGATTGCAGGTTTTCTTCTTCCATCAAAATATCTTGTTTTTGTTGTTTAACAGAAGAAATAAACCCTTAAAGGTTTGGAACACTTGAGGGTAAATTAATAGTGAGTAAATATAAATTTTTGGGTGAATCATCCCTTTAAGTGCTAAAATGACAGTTTCATATTTCTACTACATTCAACGTAGCAGTCCTGTGTGTTTAGTCATGGTTTATGAGGACCAAGTATGTCTATTTTATGTGAGTTAGCAGCAAGCTATTGTTTTATCAAATCTGTGTGTTTACTCATAGTTTATGAGGACATGATTGGTTATGCAAGACTTGAAGCTTTCAGTAAGTGAATGTCATGTTTTCTTCCACTTTCTTTGCTTCTCTCTTTCGGTACCTCCATGAGCCCGTCGCTTGGACAAACACAAACAGAGTTGTTTTCTACAGAGGTTTGTTAATTCTTTTGTCAAGCTATTTTGACACTCCTTAAAGGCATAGTTCACTCAAAAATGAACATTTACTCACTATTAATTTACCCTCAAGTGTTTCAAACCTTTATGGGTTTCTTTTTTTCTGTTTAATAAAACAAATGAGATACTTTGAAAAAAGATGGAAACATGTAACCATTGACTTACATAATATAAAACACAAATAATATGAAAGTCAATGGTTACAGGTTTCCATCGTTTTTCAAAGTATCTTCTTTTGTGTTTAACAGAAAAAAGAAACCCTTAAAGGTTTGGAACACTTGAGGGTAAATTAATAGTGAGTAAATGTTCATTTTTGGGTGAATCATCCCTTTAAGTGCTAAAATAACAGTTTCCTATTTCTGCTAAATGCAGTGTAGCAGTCCTGTGTGTTTAGTCATGGTTTATGAGGACCAATTATGTCTATTAGATGTGACTTAGCAGTAGGATATTGTTTTAATAAATCTGTGTGTTTACTCATGGTTTATGAGGACACAGTATGTGTAGGTTTACATGGTGCTACCAGTAGACTATTATAACATGTGTTTCTTCATGGTTTATGAGGGCATTTTTTGTTATGCGAGACTTCAAACAGTTAGTAAACAAATGTTACATTTTCTTTATCTTTGTTTCTCTCTTTCAGTACCTCTATGAGCTCGTCACTTTGACAAACACAGAGTTGTCTTCTACAGAGGTTTGTTAATTATTTTGTCAAACTATTTTGACACTTTTTAAAGGGATAGTTCTCCCAAAAAGTACAATTGTGTCATCATTTGCTCACCCTTTAATTGTCTCAAACCTTTTTGGGGTTATTTATTCTGTTAAAGACAAAAGAAAATACTTACAAATAATATGGAAGTGAATGA